TTCCTTCCTTCCTTCCTTCCTCCCTCCCTCCCTCCCTCCCTCCCTCCCTCGAGACAGGGCTTCAAAGAAACCCAGATGGCCAAGTGGTCTCAATCTCAGAGATCTGCCTGTCTCTACCTCCTAAGTGCTGGGATTAAAGGTGTGCACCATTGGCAGAACTGGTATTTTTATTATTTTTATTTTATGTGTGTGTGTATTGCCTGCATGTATGTAAGTGCATCTGTATCATGCAATACCCACAGAGGTCAAAAGAATGTCAGATCCCCTGTAACAGAGTTATAGATGGTTGTTAGTAGCCATGTGGGTGCTGAGGATTGAACCCATATTCTCTACAAGAGTAGCCAGTGCTCTTAACCACTGAGCCATCTCTCCAGCCCAGAACTGGCATTTCTGACAAAGCTCCCATCTAATGCTGTCTGTGTTTCGACCACACACTGAGTAGCAAGACCCTGGGGGATTAACTGGAGAAGATTATCAAAGTCAAATGAGTATTAGTTTGTCTCCTTACTCTGTTAGAAGAGGTAGACAAACAGCTCTAAGAGTTGAAGAAAGAAACAAAATGGGAGGGAATGAAATGAGTTCTGAACTCCCAAGTAGAAATCCTGGTTTGATCAGGACTTACTTGATCATGTGATTGGCATAAGCTCGAGAGCAGCAGGTGCTATAGCGACAGAGAGAGCAATGTACATAAGTAGGGAAATGATTAGGGAAGTCTGGGATCTCAAAGCTGCACTCCAGACATGTCTGCCGGCCCATGACACTCCTGTCAAGAACAAAACAGAAAAATTTCATTACTGTCTCAGGTACCCAGCATTGTAATGACCCTGCTAAAAACTGTATTTGATTTCCCTGGCTATCAGGAATAATCCTGCCCAGATAGTTCCCAAACGCCTAAGGTTTAAGAGGCACTGACATTTTCCTAACAGCTCTCTTCTGGATATTACGTTGGACAGGAGGATAAAGGAAGACAGGCAGGGGGTCGGTGGAGGACAGTGGTGTGGCCTCCTGCAAGTTGCCTGAAGGTGCATCATTTGAAGACACGGGAACAGTTCGTGGCTGCCCTCGGGAAGCCCGGATAGTGACCTGAGAATCAAGGAAAGGAAGTTAGATCCACAGTAAATCTCAGGATACTGTCAATCTCTATTCCTACCCTGCCTGGGTCTGCAAAAGAAACTTTAGCAAACTCCTTACCTTGGTGCCTGGTTTCAAGCCTTCCAGCTGCTTAGGTTTCCGGAAGGTTTTATGGTGCTGAAGCTTGTGTTCAATTTTGTCCTTGGCAAAGAGAAACTGTAGCCGGCATTTGTTGCAATGATAAACATTTCTCTTCTGAAGTGGGGAAAAAAAACAAAAAGATAAGAATTCCTCTAATAGTCCCAGTAAACCAGTGCCAGCCACATCCTTCTTCCCACCTTTCTGTTGATAATTTAAGAGAATAAGAAAAACAAAAACAATCACAACAAAACAACACAAGAAAACCTACCACTGAGAATCATCACCTTACTCTCTCAAAAAGTGAAACACAGGCCAGGATAAGCAGGTAGGTTCTCAAACCACCCCACCCTTACTGACTTGTACCCAGCTGGACCAGTGACCTAAACTGACCTGCCCTACTTATCTTAACATTGCAGACAGGGTATTTTTATTTTTTAAATTTTATGTGTATGAGGTATTGTCTGCATGTATGTAAATGAACTTATGTCATGCAATGCCTGAGGAGGTCAGAAGAAGGCGTCAGATTCCCCAGAACTGGAGTTACAGACGGTTGTTAGCTGCCATGTGGGTGCTGGGATTCGAACCCAGGTCCTCTGCAAGAGAAGCCAGTGCTCTTAACCGCTGAGCCATCTCTCTAGCCCCATAAACAACTTCTTTAAATAAGTTGTCTCCAAAGGCCAGAGAGATGGCTCAGTGGTTAAAAGCACTGGCTGCTCTTATACAGGCCCCAGTTTTAGTCCCCAGCACCCACTTGGCAGCTTAATAACAGTCCCTAATTCCAGTTCCAGAGGACCCAATGCCCTCTTTTGGCCTTCGTGGGCACTGCATGCATGTGGTGCACTTATATACATGTAGGCAAAACACTCGTTAAGAAACAAACAAAAACCAAAAAAAAAAAAAAAAAAAACATAAAAATGAAAAAAATAGAGCCAGGTGTGGTGGTGCATACCTTTAATCCCAGCACTTGGGAGGCAGAGGCAGGCGGATCTCTGTGAGTTCAAGGCCAGCCTGCCTGGTCTACATAATAAGTTCCAGGACAGCTGGGGCTACAGAGAGACCCTGTCTCGAAAAGACCAAAAAATAAGATAAAATAAAAAAAAAAATATTAAATAAGTTGTCTTCATTTCTTTCTTTTCCTTTGTGTTTTCTGTTAGAATGTGACTTTTACCCTATCAATCAACTAAACAGCTCATTAGTGTTATTAAATTAAGGGTCCTCCTTTAGTTTCTATCTTAACCTTCCTGTGACATGTATTTTGATCACACCCTTTTTTCAGAATATGTTCTTTCTTCAGTTCCTTGACACCAAACTCCTACTAGGACTATGGTACTGGCTCTGTGGAGAGAAACCTTCAAGGATCCTAAGCATTTACCTTAAACTTATTCGTGATAGGGCTAAAGGGCCCAAGACACTTGAAGAAGTTTGACATCAGTCAGGAAAGATGGTGTACACCTTTAATTTCAGACCAAGTAGGCAGAGGCCAGAGGGGATCCCCATGAATTTGAGGCCAGCCTGGTTACATAGTAAGCTCCAAGCCAGCCAGGGCTATGCAGTGAGATCCTGTTTCAAAATCAAACAATCTAATGAATTTATGAGTCTCAAATTATTTTTTTTTTAAATTTTATTTATTTATTTATATTTAAAAAATATTTTAGTTATTATTCTTATTTTATGTGTACAAGTGTATTGCCTGCATGTATGAGAGTACACCTGTGTTGTGCAATGCCGTGGAGGTCAGAAGAGGGCTTCGGATTCCCCTGGAACTGGAATTATGGACAGTTCTTAGCCACCATGTGGGCTCTGGGAACCAAACTCCAGTCCTTTGTAAGAGCAGCCAGTGCTCTTAACCACTGAGCCATCTCTCTAGCCCCATATTATTAGTATTATTATTGTCATTTTGGGGGACAGAATTTCTCTATGTAGTCCCAGCTGGCCTGAACTCACTATATAGACCAAGTTGGGCTTGATCATACAGAGATGCACTTGCCTTTGCCTGCTGAGTGCTGAGATTAAAAGTGGGCACCACCATATCTGTCTTAGATAATAATTTTTTAAATATTTTATTTATTATTATTTTATGTGTAGCGTGTATTGCCTGCATGTAGGTAAGTGCGCCTGTGTTGTGCAATGCCTGCGGAGGACAGAAGAGGCCATCAGATCCCCTGGAACTGGAGTTATGGACAGTTATTAGCTGCCATGTGGGTGCTGGGATTTGAACCTGGGTCTTCTGCAAGAACACACAGTGTTCTTAACTGCTGAGCCATCTCTCCAGCCCCATATCACTAATCTCTTAACATCTAGACTAGTGTATGACATGTAATAGAAACTGAATGACTTTGGTAAAACAGTATCTTTTCTACCAAAATTATCTCTGCTTGAGCATTTAAAAATTAAATGAGAATACACGATTGCTTGGTGCCTGGTACCTGGTGCCTCATGTAATGCTGCTGGAAGGCATTGCCATTTTTGAAGACCTTCAGGCAATAGGGGCAGAGCAAATGCCGGGTGTCTTCATGGATCATCCGAAAATGGACATCCACCTCAGAGTAGAGAGAGGAGCGATACTGACACACCTGAGAAAGACAGTACAGGTAAAAAGTGGTAGCAACATGGGGTGGGGGGGTAATTCTTTAATGCATAGATGTTGTTCTGATTCTGTAATGCGGGTCTGTATAAATGACATTTTTAGCAGTGATAAAAACAGGAAAGACCAGAAAGTCTGAGAACTATCTATATTCTCTAAGGAATAGAAGCATTCTCTGTCTACCTCCAGAGGGCAAGCTCAGGAGATGAACACACTCTCAGGACATGCACGTGTTCCCTGTCTGGGTATTATACTTGTCGTTATGTTCTTCTATGATTTTCTCCTTTAGAAAATCCTAAATATAGAAACTGTGTTGTTTATTCTTTCCATAGTTATCAGAGTACATGAGGTAGGTATTTAGGAATTCATTCATTAATGGATTCTTTGAATTCAGTTTGAGAGGAAAATGGCTAAAACATCCCAGAGAAAAAAAGCAATACCTGACAAACGTAAGGCATCTCTCCAGGCTTATGAGTGTCCTTCATATGCTGGAGAAACAGGGGCTCACTTTCAAATGCCCACTCACAGATCTTGCACTTGGCTGTAAGACAAAAAAATAAAAAAAAATCAATAAATGTACCTACGGGCTGGAGAGATGGCCCAGTGGTTAAGAGCACTGACTGCTCTTACAGAGCACCTGGGTTTGGTTCCCAGCACCCACACGGTGGCTAATAACTGTCTGTTAACTCCAGTTCCAGAGGAACTCTTCTAGCTTCTGTAGGCACTGCATGCACATGGTGCACTTACATACATGCATGGCAAACATATACACATAAAATAAAAACAAAACAAATGCATCTGAAAAATAAGACCAATGTCCTCAGGGTCTTTCTTCTGACTCCTGCATTCTCATTTTCAATCACAAATCAGTTTCCTCACATCTTCAAATGGTTCTGCCCTAACATTTCTCTTTTTTTGGTCTTTTTTGAGACAGGGTCTCCCTGTAGCTGGCCTGGAACTCACAGAAGTCTGCCTGCCTCTGCCTCCCCGAGTGCTGGGACTAAAGGCATGAGCCAGCATGCCCAGCCTGCCCTGACATTTGTATTGCTAATGACAACATCCCCATGTCTCTAGCTGAGACTTTTTACCAAAGTTCCACTCTAGTTTGTGAATTGTTTGCATTTTAAATCATAGACATTCTATTTTTTTCCTTTGTTTTTTTTGAGATAGGGTCTCCCTGTAGGCCCAACTGGCCTGAAACTTGCTATGCAGACTAGGCTGGCCTTGACCTCAGAGAGATCTGTCTGCCTCTGCCTCCTGAGCAATGGAATTAAAGGTGTGTAGTACCATGCCCAACAATTATAAATTTTTGGTACAAATTTTGGGGGCTGGAGAGATGGCTCAGCAGTTAAGAGCACTGGCTGCTCTTACAGAGGACCTAAGTTCCCAGTATCTATAAGGTGGCTAACAACTATTTGTAACTCCAATTTCAGTGAATTTGACGCCCTCTTCTGACCTGTGTGGGTACTGCATGACACTGGGCACTTACAATACACTCACATACAATATTTTTAACAATTTTGGTAAAAATTTTAATTGGTCCACAGCTTGAATTATAAAGTATGGTCAAAAAAGGGGGCATATTTGTGATTTTCTTCTTTCACTGGTTTTCCAAATATAGAAATAACAGGTTTAGAGCTTTAAGTACTATTATAGACAATGACACACCCTCTGACTTCCTAAATAAGTGATGCTGAAATACTTCTTTAGAATAAAATACACAGAAGTCCAAGGTTTTAAGTCTTAGGCCTATGAAATCAGGCTCGAAATATCCATATATCCTCTGAAATTATTTGCAGAAAAGTAAAATGTCTATTTTTCCAGGAGTGTTCACAGGTTTTGTGTTAATTTTCACAAGAGTCCCAATTCACTTAGAACTACTGCTTGGAAGTTTGTTAGGTGCTACAAGGAGTAATAAATAAGAAAATTCTGCCTTGAAGAATGAGGAAAAGCTGTAAGGTTTTCAGATATAACCGAAAAGACTGTGGGGATATAGCTCAGTGGCAGAGTTCTTTCTGAGCATGAATAAGGCCCTGGGTCTGATCCCTAGCATGGCAAAACAAATAAAAGAACATACTACGGGATGGAAAGACGTCTTAATTGTTAAGAGCAATGTCTGTTCTTGCAGAAGACCCAGGTTCGAATCCCAGCACCCACATGTCCATAACTTCAGTTCTAATGTCCTTTTTTTTGTCTTTCGTGTACACACACTAACAAAACTGTAAAAGAATCCAAGAAACACATAAGTGCTTCAAACTCAAGCACTGCCCTTAAACAAGCGTGAAGAAAAATGGCATGCTATTACTACTTCTGTTGTCATGTGTTGGGCATGGTGGTACACATTTGTAATCCCAGCACTCAGGAGACTGAAGCAGCACTGCTGTGAGTTCCAGACCAGCCTGGGCTTATATAGTGAGTACCAAGCCAGCCAGGCAGGGCTATACTGCAAGTCCGTGTCTCAGGACAAACAGGCTCAGAGGTTAAGAGCATTTGCTATTCTTCCAGAGGACCCAATTTTGAACTCAGTACCAACATCATGCAGCTCAGAACTGCCTGTATCTCTAGTTCCAGGGGATCCAATGCTCTCTCTGACCTCTGTGGGCATGCATACACACACTGTCCCCCCAACACCCACACCCCTAAATAAATAAATCTTTAAAATAGATTACACTGTTACTATAAATATGATGAACCACTGAAATTTGGGGGAAAATTCAGGAATTTTGATAACAGATTAAATATCATATAACGTTAAAAATTTACTTTTAAGTTTACTTACTTATATTTATTTATTTATTCATGTATTTTTGAGACAGAGTCTCTCTGTAGCCCAGCTGGCCTAGAACCCGCTATGTATATCAGACTGGTCTTGATCTTACTGAGATCTGCCTTTCTCTGCCTCCTGAGTGCTGGGATTAAAGGCATGCACCACCATGTCTGGCAAGATTTATTTTTTAAATCTTAATTTCTTTGTATGTGTACATACATGCACATGTGCATACTAGGATATGCTTGTAGCAGTCAGGACAATTTGTGGGAGTCAGCTCTCTTCTTCTACCATGTGGGTTCTAGGGATGGAACTTGGGTCATCAAGCTTAGCAGCAACTGCCTTTACCTGCTGGGACCTTCTTGTTGCCTTGATATTAAGGATTTTTGATTAATTATGCCAGATCTTGGAAAAGGTATTGTGGCTATATACAGAAAATTACCTTTCTTTCTCCAGAAACATTTAAGTTTTAAAAAACATTTTATTTATTATTTTTATTTTATTTTATGTATAAGTGTGTATTGCCTGCATGTAGGTAAGTGTACCAGTATCATGAAATGCCTGCGGAGGACAGACGAGGCTGTTAGATACCCTGGAACTGGAGTTATGGCAGTTGTTAGCTGCCATGTGGGTGCTGGGATTTGAACCCGGGTCCTCTGCAAGAACAGTCAGTGTTCTTAACCGCTGAGCCATCTCTCCAGCCCTTTCCCCAGATACATTTAGAGATGAAATGTCAGGATACCTGTAAGTACTTCAAAAAATAAAAACTTTCCCTCTAAAATGAAAAAGCAACAAGTTGAAAAATATTAACAGCATTAAAAATAAATGACTTTCACATTATGCTGGTATAACAGGTATAAAGGCATCTGTTACAAACAAGTACAAGAAAAGAAAACCCTGCCATATATGAAGAAAAGGCATTTCTCTGTTCTGACAGTACAAATCTTAATGAGGTTCAAAGGGCCAATGAGATGACTGAGCAGGTCCATACACAAGTGGACTGACAATAACCTGCCCTTCAGATTAGTATGAGTGAGAACACCAGGCATGACAACACACAACTAGGATTCTAGCACTTGGGAGGCTGAGGCAAGAGGATTGCCTCCAGTTTGAAACTAGCCTGGGCTATATACAGTAAGACCCTGTCTCAACAAACAAAAATGAAAACAAAAACAATGAGCAATGGGCTGGAGATATAGCTCAGTGATCGTGTTTGTCTAACACTTGAGTCCCTGAGGCCCTGGGTTCAGTTTTGGTACACCTTCCGCTGAATGACTGAGGCTGGAGTGTAAACCTTAATTGGCTATACTGACATCAAACCATAGGATCACAATGATTATACACAGTATCTAGTCTATTCCCAAAAGACTAGTCCAACGTTTCACTGTTCAATATGAAAGACACCAGCAACATGTGGCTACTGAAAACTTAGAATATAGTATATCCTGAGATTTGCATTTTAAAAACTGTTTCTTGGCTGGGCATGGTGGCGCACAATTTTTAAAATTCTATGTGTGTGGGCATATTGCCTGCATGTGTATAAAGGCACCCATGTCATACAATACCCACAGAGCTCAGAAGAGGGTGTTGGATCCCCCAGAACTGGAATTACCAATGGTTGTTAGCTGTTAAGTGGGTGCTAGGAACCAAACCCAGATCTTTTGCAAGGGCAACCAGTGCTCTTAATGGGTGCGTCCTCTCTCCAGCCCAGTGCACAAACCCTACCACTTGGAAGGCAGAAGCAGGCAGATTGTGAGTTTGAGACCAGCCTGGTCTACCTAGTGAGTTCCAGGTCAGCAAGGGATATAAAATGAGATCTTACTTCAACAATAACAACAAATTCTATTTCTTAAAGGAAAAAAGTATCATTTCGCTTAAATTTTTTGATCATGTTAGTATTTTAGAAAGATTGCCTTAAATTAAAACTAATTAAAACTATTAAGGGGCTGGAGAGCTAGCTTAGCAGTTAAGAGCAGTAACTGTTCTTGCAGAGGACCCGGGTTCCATTCCCAGCACCCGCATGGTGGCTAATGACCATCCATAACTCCAGTTCTAGGGAATCCGACACCTTCTTCTGACCTCCTCAGGCACTGCATGACACGGGTGCACTTATACACATTCGGGCAATACATTCATACACATAAAATACAAATAATTAAGTATTTTTTTAAAAAACTATTAAAATTAGTGCTGGGCATGGTAGGGCACAGCTTTAGTCCCAGCACTCGGGAGGTAGAAGCAGCCTGGTCTACATAGTGAGTTCCAGGCTAGATGGGGCTGCAAAGGAGACCCTGTCTCAAAAAGACCAAAGGGAAAAAAAAAAAAAAAAAACCATTAAAATCAGTTTTACCTTTTTTCTTTCTTTTACTTTATTTAAAATGACTACTAAGAATTTTTAAATTGCAATTCAAAACTATTTCTATTGACCAGCACTAGTCTAAACCACTTCTCATAATTCTGTTTCTCTTGACAGTTAACTGTTAACAAAAGCGGGACTATGACTACATTATGTCCAAGGAGCTATAAAGAGAACACAACATTTAGTCATAAGAAGGACTCAGGAAGCTGTGGAGATGGCTCCACAGGTAGAGGGGAGTGCATGCGTGTACACACACACACACACACACACACACACACACACACACACACAATGTCAAACATTTTATATACAAAAAAAGAAATTGAGGAAAGACTGAGGCTGCCTTACCTCTAGATCTCTCAGCTAAATTATATAACAGATGTCCTTATTGCTTAATTCACGGTAGTACTTTCTTTTTCTTTGAGACAGGGTCTCAAATAGTCCAGGCTAGCCTTAAATTAACCACATAGCTAAGGATGGCTTTGGATTTCTGACACTCCTGGAGATCAAACCCAGGGACCTGGATATAGTAGGCAAGCGCTCATTCAACTGAGCTACATCTCAGAGATTCAAAGCTTTTAATTTGTAACAAGTGAATTTTGTTTTTGTTTTTATGCTTTTGGTCATACTGTTTCTAATCCCCTAACCACTTTTCTTATTTAAAAAAAAAAATAATAATTTTTTTTTTTTTTTTGGTCTTTTTGAGACAGGGTCTCCCTGTAGCCCCAGGTTGGCCTTGAACTCACAGAACTCCACCTGCCTCTGCCTCCCGACTGCTGGGACTAAAAGCATGTGGCACCACACCCAGCTTAAAAAAATTTTAAATCTATTATTTTATGTGTATATGAATACTTTGCAGCATTTATGTGTGCCAAGGAGGCCAGAAAGTGGTGTCAGATCCCCAGGAACCGGGGTTACAAATGGTTGTTAGCTCTCATGTGGGCGCTGGAGACCAAACCCAGGTTCTCTGGAAGAGCAGCCAGTGCTTTTGACAGCTGAGAAATCTCTCCGGCATACCCCCCTGCTGCTTTTCTTATTAATTTGCATCTGTCTTAGTTCCTCATACATTTAAGAACCCTAAAAGTTAAAGCCACAACTTTCCATGAAACCTGACCACAAGATCTTTTCCCTTCTCTGAATTATTTTACCAATCACTGCTCTCATATAAAGCACGTTTGTACTATTGTCTTCCTGTTTTGAGATGAGGGTCTCAATATGTAGCCCAGGCTGGCCTTTAACTCAGCGATCTTCCTGCCTCAGTCTCCTGAGTGCTCTGGTTACAAGTATGAGCCATTATAGCTGGCATGTAATAATTGTCTTATTCGATCAGCTGTAACTATGTAAGCTCCTATACTTACATATTTTTTGAGTTTTCAACAAAACTGGAACTCTTCTAAAGGCCATTAGAAATATTCTGAACATTAGGCTCACATTCTCAAAATGTCAACTCAATACAAGTGTGTTTTAAGCAAATGGCTTAATTGTTCTATGCTTATTCAGTCTTGTGTTTTTTCTTTTGTAGGACACACAATTATAACATTCTAATATATATTTCACTGAAAGCTATTTTAGTGGTACTTTTTTTTTTTTTTTGTCTTTTTGAGACAGGGTCTCCCTGTAGCCCCAACTGGCCTGGAACTACGTAGATCAGGATGGCCTTGAACTCGTAGAGATCTGCCTGCCTCTGACTCCCAAGTCCTGGGACTAAAGATGTGTGCCACCACGCCTGGCTAGTGGTAAAGTACTTTAAAATCAGGCTTTGACAGACAATAGGACAAAGAACTTTCTCTAACACTATCACCTGCATGTAAATATAATAAGCTCCCTCTAGAGTTTCAGTTTTCAAACTTACTAGTAGATTCATAGGGACTATGAACATTTTCCAAGTGGCACTGGAGCTGGAAGGGCGTGGAAAACTGGCGGTAACAGTGTTGGCAGATAGTATGACCATCCACCTCGCCATTCTGCTGATCGAGTTCCACGTGGTGTTTCATATGGTTCATGAATCTGTAGCACAGTGCAAGGAGAAAGGACCGAAAACAAAATCGGTAATTCTGAGAAATATAACGGTAGCGTTATAAACAACCATTATTTGCTCTCCCCCAACTTCCTCTATTTGGGGCAGTCCTTTTCTTAGCCCAGTAAGATAAGCTAACGTTTACTACTACAATACCTCCCCTTCAACAATACTGCTTACTGACTTAATTAAGTCCAGGAAGATTGAATCATAGGATGATTTCTAAAACACTTAAATATGTAGACAATTTAAATCTACTTTTATGCATGGTTATCTCCAAGGCTTTTCAATACTTACCGAATGTTGTTTTTGAGCCTTTTGGTACAATGAGGGCATCGGAAAGATGTGGCAACCTTAGGAAAGCTTGTGAGTTGGGCTACTTTGCCCCCATCCCGTCCATAGTAAAAGTCATCTACCAGCATAATAAGCTTGGTCTGGACAGCATCACCAGCATTCTCATTTGGCTCTGGTACTTTGGTAGGGGGTGACAGAGCAGGAATAGGTGTAGAAGAGGGTGTAGAAGTAACAGGAGCTGTCTTCTCAGGGGAGGAGGGCTTTGCTGCTGCTGTGACATTGGGTTCGGAATCCAGGGACCTTCCTTTCTTCTGGTATTCAACCATTTCTGGGCAGCAGTACTATGAAGAAAGAGGGCATCTCATCATTCTGGTTATCCTGACTCCTTAATGTCACCAATAGTTCCTGGTAATGGTTTTGTTAATCTAAGTGATGAGCGGCATTTTTTGGACATAGAGAGCTCATTATGTTACTCAGGCTAGCCACTAGGCTCACATGATCCTCTGCCTCAGCCTGCTGGGTAGCTGGGACTACAGGCATACATCACTCACTACACCTGACTTAACGTTAAGGCATTTCTTATCCAGCTTTCATCCTTCAGTTTTCTAGAGTAGGACCAGGGCTCAGTCTTTCCCTATTGTATGTCCAGAGGACCCTGAGCACAATGTCTTCTACTTTTTCCTCCTACCTGTCTTGAAGTGTGTACTAGCATCATGTGACTCTACATTTTCTGGCAGAAAAGAAGCTCCAACCTCTGCAATGGACTAATACCAAAAATTACAAGACTATAAAGTCGAAACCAGGGAGTAGCTTTGGATTCACCTAATGGCACTTAATAGTTTCTAAAAAACCTGTTCTCAGCTGGGTGTGATGGTGCACACCTTTAATCCTAGCACTTGGGAGGCAGAGGCAGGTGGCTCTCTGTGAGTTCGAGGCCAGCCTGGTCTATATAGTGAGTTCTAGGCCAGCTGGAGCTACAGGGAGACCCTGTCTCAAAAAGACAAAACAAAACAACAAAACCTGTTCTCTGCAGTTTCAAATCTACCATGCTAAGACAGTAAGTTTACATTATGTATTGATGGTTTTTAAATACATCCTATCACATTCCAAAATACATAGCTCTTTTCTAAAAGAGTTTAGATACTGTTTTCCAGGCTTCCAATATTAGAGGCAGAAGTAGCTGGATCCTTTTCCCAGGTAGCATCACTTACACACATATGACCCCTCAAAGCTTCAGTAACACGGAACTGAGCACTGCACCGTGGACAAATTTTCCGCCCAGCAGTTTCCTGGATGTCATACACTGGCATGGAAGAGGTCACTGGAAGAAGGAAAAAGAACTGTTATGATTCACACAGCATACTCGTTCAGGACTAAATACTCCTTGAAAAGAAATCCAAGAATAAGCAGCAAGCGTGAGAGACCACTATGTGTGACTCACACTCTTAACTCCTAATACCATCTTACCCATTTAAGGGTATACCTCATGGTATTATGTATATTCACAGTGTTGTATAATTTCTAGAAATCAACTTACAGAACTGAAACTGTTCTCGGGGAGTTTTGTCTCAGAAAGGGTCTTATGTAGCCCAGACTGGCCTTGAATATAGTATGTTGCAGAGGTAGACTCTGAACTCTTAATCCCCCTGTTTCCACCTCCCAAGGGCTAGGAAAACAGACATGCATGATACCGGGGCTTTCTGAAACCAGGTCTTTGTTATGTAACCCTAGATGGGGCCTTGAACTTGCAGCAATCCTCCTGACTCAGCCTCTTGAGTGCTGGCATTATAGGTGTGCACCAACATATTTGGCTGAGAACTGAAACTCTTGCCTATTAAAAGACACCTCCACCAGGTATGATGGTGCATACTTTTAATTCTAGTACTCAGGAGACAGAGGTAGGAGGAACTCTGTGAGATGGAAGCCAGGCTGGTCAGCATAGTGAATTTGAGGGCAGCTGGGGCTACAGGGTCTGTCTTAAAAAGCAAAATCAAACAAAGATTATAATACCTTCAGAGTTCTCCGTGTTCTAACATATGGCAAAATGACTTCCTTTTTAAGCCTGGAAATATGTCATTTTGTATATATGCCACATTTTGTGTATCCATTCATGATCTGATGGATATATGGGCTGCTTTCACCTTTCACCTGCTATGAATGATGTTGTTAGGAACACAGGTGTGTAAGTGTCTATTCTAGTAGTCCCGGCTTTCGATTCTTCTTTTTTTGGGAGGGGGGGCATCTTTTTCAGACAGGGTCCCCCTGTAGCCCCAGCTGACCTAGAACTCACTATGTAGATCAGGCTGGCCTTGAACTCAGAGATCCACCTGCCTCTGCCTCCCAAGTGCTGGGATTAAAGGCATGCACCACTATGCCTGGCCTCACTCCTTTTCCGTACATCCTCAAGAGCAGAACTCCCAAAGCATGCATGCATGCCCATGTGGAGGTCAGAGAAGAATGTGCAGGAGTTGGTGCTCTCTTTCCACTGCGGGGGTTCAGAGATCAAACTCAGGTTGTCATGCTTAACATCAAGTGCCTTTGCCTGCTGAGCCATATTGCTGGCCCCATTTGTTACATTTTTGTTTTTTTGAAATGGGGTCTAATTATGTAGCCCTGGCTGGCCTGAATTCACTGCATAGACCAGACTAGCCTCTGCCTCCCTCGTACTAGAATTAAAGGCATGTGCCCTGCAAGCTGGACCATCTTTCCAGCTCCCTATAATTGTTTTTGGTAAAGTAACGAATGAGCCTATTTCAACAAAAACAGAAGACCTGGGTCCCCTTCTGTCCTCTGCGGGCACTGTATGAAATGGGTGCATTTACATACATGCAGGCATAACATTCATACACATAAAATAAAAATAATTTTAAAATATTAAAAATATTTAACTTCATTTTACTATTCTGACACTGAATCTGATCCATTCAAGTCTATATATTTCAAACAGAAATAAAGAAATTGTTTAGCTAGATAAAGGTGATGTTTTCTCATAATCTTAAATCCTCTGTTTCACTTACAATTTTTTAAATTAGTATACAAAATAACAGGCTTCCTCAAGTTCTGATTGACCTTCTATTCCTACCCACTCCTCTCCCTTATCAACTGGTCCCTGCTAGTGCCCTTCCACCCCAGTGTTTCCCTTCCACTTTCCCATCACAAGGGCTCTGTCACTTCCTACTTTCCTCCCTTAAAGCCCTCCCCGCTCAGGTTCCTTTCCCTAGCCTGTATCCACACTTATTCCCACACAAATACACATATATAAAAATTAGAAATTAGGATCTACTTCTGAGAGAGAACATGTGGATTTGTCTTTCTGAGCCTGGGTTAACTGAGCTCTAGGGATTGACCTCAGGTCATCAGGCTTGGTGGCAGGCACCTTTACCCGCTGAGTCATCTTGCCAGTCTGCTTTTCCCTCATCTTTTGTTGGGTTGGGTGTTTAAAAAAATTTTATTATTTTCATTTTATGTCTAGTATGTATTGCCTGCATGTAGGTAAGTGTGCCCATGTTGTGCAATGCTTGCAGAGGTCAGAAGGGGCTGTTGGATCCCTGGGACTGGAGTTACTGACAGTTGTTAGCTGCCATGTGGGTGCTGGGATTCAAACCTGGATCTTCTGTAAGAACAACCAGTGTTCTTAACTGCTGAGCCACCTCTCCAGCCCCTGGGTTGGGTTTTTGCTGTTGTTACAGAGTACACAAATTGTTTAGGTATTATTGGTAGTAAACCGTTAATACATTATACTTTTTCCCATTCTGTGGGTTCCTTTTTTCACTGTTAGTGTTCTTTGATGCACATAAGTTTTAAATTTCAAATTTAGCATTTTTTGTTCTCCTGTCTGTGCTTTTCATATCTAAGAAATATAGAAAACACCATGAAATCTAGTATCATCAATTTTTCTTTCAGGAATTTTTGTTGTTCGTCGGTTGTTTTTTGGTAGTGTATGGGAATCAAACCCAAGGCTTCTCATATGATAGGCAGGTGCTCTCAGTGTGAGTGTGAGTGTGTGTGTGTGTGTGTGTGTGTATTTTTCTGAGACAAAGTCTTAATCTGTAGCCCAGGCTGACCTTGAACTCACCCACAGTAATCTTCATGTTTCAACCACCCAAGTGCTGGATTACAGGCATGAGCCACCACACTCAGCCATTTATTTTTAAGATAGGATCTTAGCATTGCCTAGATTTGCCTTGATCTACTGCGTATAAGCAATTCTTTTTCAGTGCCATGAGTAGCTGAGTCTGTCTACAGGCACATGTAACTATCAAGCCATTTCTCTCTTTTTAAAAATGTATTGTTTTTATTTTATGTGTATGAGTGTATTATTGCCTACATGTGTGTAAGTGACCCATGTCATGCAATGCCAGAAGAGGGCATTGGATTTCCCTGGAACTGGGGTTACGGACAGCTGTTAGCCGACATGTGGGTGCTGGGAATGAAACCTGGGTTCTCTGCAGCCAGTGCTTTTAATTGCAGGGTCATCTCTCCAGCCTCATTTTCTCTTTTGTGTATGCATGGTGTATGCATGTGTGTACACATGTGGTGTGCTCACCTGTGTGCACATGTAGACGTCAAAGGTTGACAGCAGTTATTTTCCACTATCACACACCACATTACTTTTTAAGATTTATTTTTATTTATTTATGCGTGTGTGTGTGTGTGCGTGTGCACACATGCATGTGAATTCTTGGAAGCCACAAGAAGGCTTCAGGTCTTCTAGAGCTGGAATTACAAGCTGTTGCAAGCTACCCACTGTGGGTGCTGGGAAGCAAACTCAGGTTCTCGGAAAGAATAAGCACTCTCAACCACTGAGCCAGCTTTCCTGTTCTCTCTCCATTATTTTCTGAGACAGGATCTATCTTCAGCTGAACCTGGAGCTCACCATTTCAGTTAGACTGACTGGCCAGTGAGCTCCCAGGATCCACATCTCCCCTGCAGCGCTGGGGATATAGGCATGCCCCACCATGCTGGTTTTTACTTAGGTGGTGGGGGCCTGAGCTCAGGTCCTCATTTTTGCACAAGAAGTACTTTACTGACTGAGCCATCTCCTCAGTGACCTGACCCTCCCCACAATATTCTTTTTTTTTTTTTTTTTGGTTTTTGATTCTTGAGGTAATGACTCACTGTGTAGCCCAAGTTGGTCTCAAATTCACAGCAAACCTCCTCGTCTTCTGAGTGCTGGGATTACAGACATGTACCACACCATGCCCAACTTCATGTGGAGCTCTTTGAAGAGTTTTAGAGCTCCCGTGTTTAGGTCTTTGGTCCACTTTCATTTTTATATTGAATGGAAAATAGAAGTCCAACTTCAATTCTTTACAGGTTTTGTTATGTCTGTCTTTCTGTCTGTCTTTTTGAGGCAGGGTATCCCTGTAGTCTCAGCTGGCCTGGAATTTGCTAGGCTGGCAGTGAACTCACAGAGATCTTCCTGTCTCTGCCACCTGCCTCTGCTTTGGAAGTGCTGGGATTAAAGGCATGTGCTACCATGTCCAGACACGTTTTTGTTTTTTAGATGTGGTCTCACTATGCAGCCCTGACTGGTCTGCAACTTGCTGTAGAGAACAGAATGGCTTCAAACTCACAGAAAGCCACCTGCCGGTAAGTGCACTCATGCGTGCAGTACCTGAGGCAGCCAAAAGAAGGTCTCCAATTCCCTGGAACTGGAGTTAGGGATGGTTTCAGCTGCCATGTGGATGCTGAGAACAGAACCCAGGTCCTGCAGGAGCAGCTAGTGAACCATCTCTCCAGCCCCTCAACATTTTAAAATAAGTTGAAACAAAAGCAAAAGAAAATTATGGCTAATAAAAATTACATGAAATTCCAATTTCAGAGTTCATAAATATTTTTAGTGGAACACAGTACAGCTTATTCATTCATACGTACTCTCTGCAGCTGCATCTATACAGATGAATACTTGGGACAGAGATCATATTGTGCTCAAAGTCTATAACATTTTTACAAGGGGTCCTTTACAGAAGGTTTAGCAACCCCTGATCTAGACCACTGAAAATCCTCACATTCATATCCTTCTCCATCGGCAAACCTCTCTAACAAATCTCAACTTCAAAAATCAGCTCAGAGCTGGGCGTGGTGGCGCATGCCCTTAATCCCAGCACTTGGGAGGTAGAGGTAGGTGGATCTTTGTGAGTTTGAGGCCAGCCTCCATGATCAATCCATCCACTTTGCTAATCAATTGCCAAAGCACAATTATGTAAAGAATTCTTGTAGCTGATGCAGTCATATTTTTCCTAACTGGGTATTTCTTTTACTACACTAATATTCCAAACAAATTAAACACCTATATTAAGCAAATTAAAGCACATAGATTCTGTTTTATTTCTCCAGAATACTTTCAATCAATAAATGCTTTATCAATGTTTTTCAATGACTGGACGACCCAGTCTCTCACATTACCTTTCACTGATGATTCGGGTCCACTGGTTCTTTGAGCACTGTGGGCAGAACTGTTGTTGGACGCTACCATGGGCCCAGGACTCTGGCCCAGGGAAGGGATGGTGTTAAGGGTATTCACCAATTTGGCCACTTCATTGCTATTTTCACCTGTAACCCCAGGTCGCTTCACAGTGACAAAGCTGGCAATGCTCACTGCAGGTGGAGAGGGGAAGGAAGGAGCTACATTGACTAAGTGAAAATCATCTGTTCCCTACCCACTACCCATAGTGGCCTGCCATCTCAAAATCCCAAGTCTCACCTAGCTTGGGATTCGAGGTCTGGTTGGATTGGCCTGGAGGCTGAAGAGCTAGCTGCCCCAATGAGGTTGGCTGTGTGGCAGTGGGAGTGGTGGAAGTGCTGGGAGTGGACTTGGTCTGCTGTGACTGTGACTGTGGGACGGTGCTTCGAATGGTGAGAGTAGCTGGGATGACGGTTGTAAAGGTGTTGGTGGTGGGCCTCACGGGCATTGTGGAACCTGGCCTCACTGGGGTCATCTGAGAGAACACCTGTGGGACTCCAACTGTCGGCTTAACAAACTGCGTACCTGGGGCTTTTAAAAGAGAGACAAAGAAAAGTACCAAACCTTCACAATGAGCTCACCTATAATCCATTTATTTGCCTTTCCTAGAAACACAAGAACAGGAAAACAGCTATTTCCCCAAACTGATTAAGTTAACCATCAGGGGTTAACAAGAGTAATTTTGATCCTCAAGTCTAAGAAACAGTTGTTCACCTGACAAAAGAAATTATCCTAAGTAACTTAAAAACATTAAACTGAAGATGATTCCTATCAACCCCTTCCCAAGCACCTTCCACACCTTATCCTAAGAATACAAATTATAACTTGAGCTTAGAACTAGAAGGAGTGGGAGGCAGAAAGGGTTTACATAGGCCAAAGGGCAAATGTGGTCCTCAAATTCTTCTTACTCAGAGTTCTAATGGAATTGTCCATTTTCTTTAAACTCAAGGAGTACAAACTATGTCTAGGATGTCCGAAAGGAGAATATTTTCTGGAACATTTATAAGTAAGTCCACTGAGAAATATTTATGGAGCACCACAACGTTACAGGGTACTCTAATCAGACTTACGGCCTAAAAACCCCATGGGCTCTGAGAACAACAAACATTTTTTTAAGGAAAACTATAGAGGCCCCTTTATTTAGTGTTTTACCCTTGCCTGTGAGTGCACACATGTGTGAGTGCACATATGCCATGGTGTACTTGTGGAGGTCAGAGGACAGCTTGTGGGAGCCAGTTCTTACCTTCTTTCATGTTGGTTCCAGGTATCAAATTCAGGTTGTCAGGCTTTGAGACAAGTGCCTTTACCCTTGAGGTACCTCATTGGTAACAAGGTGCCCGTATATACAACTAATAAAAGTTACTCTTTTTGGCCTCCGTTGTAGAAATTTTTTAAAAATAATTTTTTGTGAATTGTAGAAAATTTAACACACAAGAAATGTAACGTGGAGGAAAACGCACAACACTCTATGGTCATCGGTAGCATGATCTTCTAGGATATGTCATTTACTTAATTTCTATCTAAAGGTTTTTGGGTTGTGTTTGAGACAGAATCTTGCTATGTAGCGTCAGCCTCCTGAATGTTGGGATTCCAAGAATATGCCACCATGCCTGGCTGTGTATCTAAAACCTATGCTATATACAAAACTAAATGTATAATACTACCACATAAATGAGTACATGTGCATGAAGTATGAGTTTGTGAGTATGCATTAATAATATTCTTTCAGTATAACAAATAATAGCTGACTAAAATACCAGATGCTGAAAATGACTAGATAACCCTTATTTTACCTCATGAAGGGTGGTGAAAAGTTAAATACAAAAATAAAATCACCACCTTGGCCAAAGGTTAGAAAACTATTATTTCTTTAAATTTGCTGAAATCATTAAAATTCTTGTATTTAAATTTTTCTTCAAATACAAGCTTTTAAATAATCTAGAGTATTTTGAAATAAAAACAAATTTTCTGGATGACTGCTCATTCCAAATGGATATAAACATTTTCCTTACCTGGGACTAGTGTAATTGGTCTAACCGTTTGGCCTTGCTGTACGTTCAGCACAATTCCAACCTGATTCATTGCATTTTGTACAGGCCGAACATTCCTTACAGGAAATCCCTGTATTAAAAAGCAAAACAATCTTTAATAGGGAAAGCAACTAACTAACCCTAACACTGACTACAGCATAATCTCTATAAAAAAATTCCCACATTCTTACCTAATGGTCCTCTGTCTAGAGTTAGAGAGCTATCAAATAATTGAAATGCAAAAATTTAGCCATTCTGGGTTTTTGTGGGGTGTTTTTCTTTTCCTCACTCTCTCATTCTTCTTTTTGAGACAGGGTCTTGCTATATAATCTAGGCTGGCCACAAATTCATAATTTGCAGTCTTTTTTTTTTTCTTGCTTGCTTTGAGACTAGTTCTTACTATGTAGCCCAGGCTAGGCTTGGCTTGTAACAATTCTCCTGCCTTAGCCTCCTAAGGGCTGAGATTATAGGCATGTGCCACCACACCCAGGTTATTTCACAAACTACTGAGTAACAAAAAAACACCCAAACTGTGCATCCATAGACTGGTGCTTTGAAGGGGAAAAAACCAACACCACTTAATAGTATTTAATGGAGTGACCCAACATATAAACAATCCTAAGAAATTGTTCCCAAAGTCCACTTAAAAGGCCATAAACCTCTTGAGAAATTAGTAAGAGAGATTTTATAATTCAGGAAGCCATAATTAGAGAATCATTTGCCTTCAGATTTCATTCAGATTTGGGCTTTCAACTTCAAATCATTACACACTATGTTAAATCTTCCTTTTCAAAGATCACTAATTTCATACATATATCTTCAAAAGTCAATGGATTTACCCTGTGAGAGAAAAAGCCCAAACAAAAGGTAACTCTCTCAAGCCAAGTACAAGGCTTCCTAATCCTAGTTTTTCCACTGATTTCTGCCCAGACCTTAATCAAATCAACAGACCCCTGAGGGGTATGAATAGGAAATCTCACTTGGCCATGCTGGGCATTCCACATGAATCAGTAAAGGAAAACCACAATTCAATGGACAACACCCAAACCTAATGGTAATGGTAATGGTAATGGTAATGAAGGTCCTGTCAAGTCAAAGCTGCTGAAGGCTTACAGTCTTTATCTCCTCTACCAATCCCACAGCTCAGAGTCCTTCTCACCTGGGTAGTGATGAAGATTGGCTGTGAGGCCACAGGAGAACTGGTCACATGATTGGCATTCTGCATGACCTGGACAGGCCTCAATACTGGTTGAGTAACCATCGTACCCAGGCCTGGGGCTGGATTCTGGGTCAGAATGAGTGGCTGTCCACCTTGCTGGACCAAAGGATTACCAGCTAAAGGGTAAAAGGAAGAAAAAAGAAAGAAAAAACAAGAAAGAAAATGTTAGAAACATTGCTAAACTTGTATTGTAGAAGAAACATTGGTGCTCCCGATAAGCGACACCTCAAATACCAAAATATTTAGACTGCCACTCACATCACCAAACTTACCAAAAATTTAAGCTTCACCCAAATCTGTAACTAAAAGAAAAACAAGCAGGTTGAGAGAATTTACTCTCACCCCATGTCTTAACTAGAGCAGAAAGATAGCTGAAGACTTCTGGTTACTATCTTCACCCCAACGATTTAAGTGGCCACATCATTCTCCACAAATCAGCACAAGTTCTCATTCCATTTGCGTGAAGGAAGTAGGAAACAATTTTTTTCCCACATAAATAACTGTCCCAGGCCATTTCTGGTTTTGTCTCTCTCCCCAACAAATTGCTAAGCTACCTCTATCATATATCAAGTTTCCACAGGAGCAAGAAGCTCTTACTGGATCTGCTCCTATGCCACTTTCACACTAGCTTGAAGTTTCCCAAGGTTTAATGTCTGGGTGAGAAGAAGCTGTCTACTTCCAATCTGACTGCTGTCACCAACGCCTAGATCTGGCACAGAACATGCACTTAGAATACTTGCAGCATGAACCCGGCGTGGTGGCGCATGCCTTTAATCCCAGCACTTGGGAGGCAGACGCAGGTGGATCTCTGTAAGTTCGAAGCCAGCCTGGTCTACATAGTGAGTTCCAGGCCAGCTGTGGCTACAAGGAGAGCCTGTCTCAAAAAGACCAAGAATACTTGCAGTATGAATTATCCCAAATAAGATTCCTAATAAGATTTCCAATGTTTTTTAATGCCAGGTTTGTGTCTTATACGTCTATGTTTCTCCACTCTGAGTCAGGTAATTGCTATATTGCCCAGGCTGGCCTTCAACTTCTGATCCTTCTGCCTCAGTCTCCCAAGAAGCAGGCATTACAGAAGTGCACCATCACACTAGGACATGTCACGCTACACTGTCATAAAATCTAATGTATAAGGACACAGCACAGACACAGGATGTGTTAAGCTGACTTGACAGATCTAGAGGTCACATAATTGGCATTTAATAATTACCAATGAATGACATTTCTAAGCCTGGTCTACTGCCTGTTATTTACTTACATGGGACACATACAAAATAAGCATATTAGCCAAGGGAAAGGTTTACATATGTGCTAGTATAACGAAACTGAAGGCATAAAGGGAATCTGGGGTATAAGCAGGATTATTATTATTTTTTTTGAGACAGGGTCTCCCTGTAGCCCCAGCTGGCCTGGAACTCACAGATATCTGCCTGCCTCTGCCTCCTGAGCGCTGGGATTACAAGGCATGCACCACCATGCCCAGCCTTCAGTCTACACTTTTTTTTTTGGTCAGGAACATAGATTAACATTTCTAAATACTGGAGGCTTCTAAAGTAAACAAAATCAATTTATATACATTCTAAATTAGCGTGCAGGCTCTATGAAGGCTCAGGAAGGAGGGTTCATTCAAGGAGTCAAGGAGACTAGGTGATTCCAGCATGTCATTAGATGCTCAGTCATCTCGTATAGGCCTTGGAGCCCTGGGACCAAAGAAAAGTAAAGAAATTGCTACTGTTTAAGAGAAACATGAGAAAACTTTGAAATATAGTAGAAGTATCACAAGTCTGAAATCAAGGTAATTCAAATCCAGATACCAGTCACCAACTATCTGACTGTAATCAAACTACTTAAGACTCTTTAGGCCAGTTTCCACATCCCCATCTCCTATACACACAATGATTCTCACTGAAAAACTGTGTTTTGAGACAGTTTCATTCTAGTCTTGAGTGGCATCGAACTCACCAGGTTGTCCTTGAACTTGCAAGGATCCTTCCACCTCTGCTGACAAGTTACAACTATCTTATGAGATAATAATCATACTTTCAATACCCCAAAATAAAAAAATTATGGAAATTAGGAAGATTTCAAAGCTTAATGATGTATAACATAGGGAAAGACCTACTGGAGACAACTTATTTAGAGCAACTTCAAAATGTCTACTCAATTTTAATTGTTTGACCCAGCAACCTTGCCTCTGAGACTTGATTCTTAAAGATATGCTTCTACAACAGGCATCCATACTCCCGAGAATCCAACACAGCACTGTTGTAATTGTGAAAAATTTAGGTGCAAATATCCACCACAAGTGAGCATTTATATAACTAGCTCTATCCAAAATAATATCAGACCTTCTTAGAAAGAAAATATAAATTTTTCCAGTATAGCATTTCTAGATGGCCAATCTAGAAACAGTATCAAATCATTAAAAATTATGATGACCTTTGAATCAACAATACAACTTTTAGCAATGCACTCAAAACTAATTGAGGGGGCTTAGGAGGCCTCATCTCTCCCTAAGAGATGACTGGCAGTTAATGGCAGCTGGAAAAGGGAGTGTCATTTGTTTTGGCGCTATTGCCACTCATAACTGCCCAGGCTCCAGTCAGTAACCTCCCACTCACACTTATGCCAGCAACTCTAACTAAACTTGGCGGGTCAAACACAAGCAGAGGACATGAAAGTAGGGAGGAGACTTGTTGGGAAGAAGAAAGTTTTCAGTGGGAGTGGGAGAGGGAGAGGGACATACGATGAGAGGGGAATGGGCAGTGAAAATGCCTAAAATTCAATATATACCTGTGTGAAGCTGTCAAAGGGAAAAAAAAAAAAGCCTGGGGAGGTAAGAAAAGATACAGCCAGTTATCCTTTTCTTTGTTTTCTGAGCCCAGACTGGCCTCAAACTCATACCAATATTCCTACCTCAGCCTCCCAAGTGCTGGGATTACAAGTGTGTACATCTGTACAGGTGTCTGGCTTTCATTATAGCTCTTTAAAAATACAGTATCAGGGCTGGAGAGATGGCTCAGAGGTTAGGAGCACTCACTACTCATGCAGAGAACTGAGGTTTGATTCTTAGCTCATACATGGAGGCTAACTGTCCGTTCCAGTTCCAGGGTATCCAATGCCCTCTTCTGTCTTCCTTGGGCACTGCACAACATGGGTGCACTTACACACATTCAGATAATACACTCACATACATAAAATAAAAATATTTATTTTTTATTTCATATGTATGCATGTATTGCCTGCATGTAGGTAAGTCCATCTGTGTTGTGCAATGCCCGCGGAGGTTAGACAAGGCTGTGGGATACCCTGGAATTGGAGTTATGAACAGTTGTTAGCTGTCGTGTGGGTGCTGGGATTCGAACCCAGGTCTTCTGCAAGAACAACCAGTGTTCTTAACCTCTGAGTCATCTCTCTAGCCCAAAAATAACAAAATATTTTAAAAATATAGTATCAATATACCATTTACAATCTACTGTTAAAGGTTAATCAAATAATGGGAAATACAGTCATCATGAAAATGTTATAGAGGTTCTGGAGAGATGGTTCAGTGGTTACAAGCACCTACTGCTCTTCCAGAAGACTCCAGGTTCAGTTTCCAGCACCCACATGATGCCTAACAACCACTTAACTCCAGTTCCAGGGTATCTAACACCTTCTCCTGACCACCACAGGCATTGCACAAGTGGTATACTTACACACATGCAAGCAAAACACTCATACACATGACTATAAATGTAAAAAAAATCTTTTGGCCCGGCATGGTGGTGCATGCCTTTGATCCCAGCATTCAGGAAGCAGAAGCAGGCAGATCTCTGTGAGTTCGAGGCCAGCCTGGCCTCCATAGTGAATCCAGCTACAGAAGCTCAGAAGCTACAGAAGACTTGGTCTCAAAAAGACTTAAAAAAAAAAAAAAAAAAAAGTTATAGAGGGCTGGAGATGTAGTTCAGTTGGTAGAGTGCTTGCCTAGCATGAGGCCTAGCACTATATAAACCATGCCTGTAATCTCTACATCATGTGGAGGCAGGAAAATAAGAAGTTCAAGGTTGAGCCAGGTGTGGTGGTGCACTTTAATCCCACACATGCAGGAGGCAGAAGCAGGCATACCCCTGTTAGTTCTAGGCTAGCTGGGGCTACAGAGAGACCTTGTCTGAAAAAACAAAAAAGTTCAAGGTCATTCTTGTTGTTATAGCAAGTTTGAAGCCAGCCTGGGATGCATGAGACCCAGGCTAACAAACAAAACAAAAAATGTTATAGAAAACTGAGGCATGGTGAAGGGTGGCAGTTTTTTCCCTAAATTTCTAGCACTTGAGAGGTGGAAGTGGAAGAATTAGGAGTTCAAAGCAGCATCAGCTAAACAGCGTTCAAGGCTAGCCTGGGGCTGTATGAAGATCCTACCACAAAATGAAACACGACACAAAACAAAACGGCTAGATGTGGTGGCACATGCCTTTAGTCCCAGTAATCTGGAGACAGAGACAGGCAGATCTCTGTGAGTTTGAGGCCAGCCTGGTCTACATAGCCAGTTCCAGGCTTAGCCAGTGTTACATGGTGGGACTCAAGTCTCAACAAAACAAAACAGCAACAAAAGTTTTAACTATTAAAATGAGAAGATCTTTACTATATATTCAGGAAGAAAAAAACAGGAAAAGAATAATGTGGAGTCTGTATGATCTGTATTATAAAAAGTACATCACTATATATAGCACACAGAAACACATAAAGTACATATATGCATAGATAATTACAAATAGTCACTTTTAGATGGTAGGATGATAAATCTTTTGCCCTAGAGTTTGTTTTTTCTTTCTCCTACTCTTCCTTTTTTTTTTTTTTTTAAAGGAGACAAGGCCTTATGCAGCCCAGGCTGGCCTTGGAACTCACAATCCTCCTGAGTACTAGGATCACATGCACGTGCCATTACACCTGGCCCTGTTTCTAAGATTTTTCTACAATGCTTGTATTATCTTTGTGTGTCAAGTGCATGTGCATGCTCAAGGAGGCAAGAGGTTAACATCAGGTGCTGTCAACCTCATTTGCGTTTTAGCTGTTTTGAGGCAAGGTCTTTCACTGGCCTGAAGCTGGGTGAGTAGACTAGGCTAGCTAGCAAGCCCCAGGGATTTGCCCATCTCAACCTCCCTGGAGCCCAGGCTTTTTACAAGGATACTGGGAATCAAACTCAGGACCTCATGTTTATGTGGCAAGCACTTTAACAAATGAGCCATCTCCCCAGCTCCTGCTTCTTCTTCTTTTTTTTTTTTTCTTTTATGATGGGGTCTCATGTAGCCCAGAGTAGCCTTGAATTCACTATGTAACCAAGGATGGCCTTTAATTTCTGATGCTCCTGCCCCCACCTCCAGAGTGCTAGGATTACAAGTGTGTGCCACCACACCCATTCATGTAATACTGGGGATCAAACCCAGGGCTTTGTGCATGATAAGCAAGCACTTGGCTAACTGAGCTACATCTCTAGTATTCTTACAGCAACAAAATTTATTTCTAAAGGAAATAAAACAAATAAAAGTCCCTACTCAAGAGGACGAGGCAGGAGTGCAGATTCAAGGCCTGTCTTAGCTAGATTCTATCTCAAAATAAACATTTCAAAAAAGGGAGAGGCTAGGAATAAAGCTCAGTGGTGGAGCACTTACCTAGCATGTATGAGGTCCTAAGTTCAATTCTCAGCACGGGAAAAGGGGGGCAGTTGGTCAGCGGTAGAATGTTGGCCTCATATTAAGAGGCCCTAGGTTCAATTACTAATACACAAAAACAACAAAAAATTAAAGTCCCTAGTAGGCAATGCAATGAATGAATGAGATGAAATGAATCTCTGAGAGCATCAAGCTCAAGGCTAAGCTAGAAGTGGTGACACATACCTTTAATCTCAGCACTAGGGAGGCAGAGGCAGGTGGATCTCTGTGAGATCAAGGGTAGTCTGGTCTACATAGTAAGTTCTAGGTCAGCTGGAGTTAAGAGGGAGACCTTATCTCAAAACAAAACAAAACAAAACAAAACAAAACAAAAACAAAACAAAAAACTCAGAAAGTTCAAGGCTAGACTTAACTATGTACGTAAGTTACTGGAGACCCTGTTTCAACCCCCTACCTCAAACAAATCAATACTGTTTAGTTTCTCTAATCAGTAAAATACACTAAAACCTCTATTCCTTCCCTACTCCATTTGGTGGACAACAACTCTTATCTTTCATACCCAGGAGTCAGCAACCAACACAAAGAGAAAACGCAGAACACAAAGCTAACCTGGCAACCAAGTAACAGGACTCTTCTGACTCAAATAAAATATATAAACAAAACCAAGCAACTAACAGCCTCAGATCTCTAGAATAGTTAGGAATACTGAGTTTACCTTTTCTCTTCTATAATTATTAGCAGCAAGAACCTGCTGGCCTCTGCCCTGAGAACAGTACCACCTGCAGTACCACTTCATACCAGAGAGGAGGTCCTAAAGTCAGTACCAGCTAGCAGAACCACAGTGACAACTGAACAGGTACAGCTGGCCTGAGGTCACTTTTACTCTCTCATACTTCTATCCCAAGAAGACTTTCCCAATAATTCCACTTACCATTGTTGTTGGCAATTAGTGTGACAAGAGTCTTCTTTGTACTGTTGCTGTTGTGTGCCCCACTGTTACTAACAGTGGTGGATGAAGAGAGGTGCCCAGCCACAGAAGCATGGGCAGCGATGGGCACTGGAACTGAAACTGGCTGCTGGCTCACAGAAACTGCGGGGAAGGGAAGGCATAGTCACTTGGAGACAGGGATAGAGGTCACTAAAGGACACTGCTACTTCTCTATTCTTCCCTTTTCATCTTGTCTCTACAGGCAGAAAGTTTCTTATTCATAATTCCAACTATTAATCTGATTCTTCTCCTAACAGTCTCTTAGTTGACCATTTAGATGTAATCCTTTTGGTTACCATGATAAAATACCCTGACAAAAGCAACTTCGGGGAGAAAGGGCTTATGTGGCTCACAATTTCAGGTTATAGTCTGTCACTGGGGAACTCAAGATGGCAGGATCTTGGAAGTAGCTTGTCACATTCCATCCACAGTCAAGAGCAGAGAGAAATGAGTGATGCTCAGCTCCCTTCTCTCCGCTCTTAAAAAGGTCAGAGTCCTTTTCCTAAGGAACAATGCCACCCACATCATGGGCCTTCCAATCTCCATTAATCATAATCAAGATAATCTCCCAGACACATGTTCGAAGGCCAACCTAACCTAGATAATCCCTCACTGAGACTCCCTTCCCAGGTGATTCTAGATTGTGTTAATTTGACAAGCAAAACTAACCATCACACCTTCACATTTCCTGGTTAATTAAGTCAGGTCACTGACCCCACTGCTGTACAACTTTAATGCTTTCCTACACAGCATTAGCAATCTTTAGGACTCACAGGTTTACTATCACCACTACTGAATTCAACACCATGCACATCAAGCCACCTGTATGAGACCTTCTACTTTGTCCTTAGTTGGCCTAAATCAATGCCATCTTCAGTTCTCAAAGAACAGAAAGATTAAAATAAAGAACAACTAGTATAATTAAGGAGAAATCACCCACTTTGTCAATTCAAAGCAATCTAGGATTTTACCCCAGTATCACTTTTATAAAAGAGAAGGTAACAATTTTAAATTTGTAAACTGTCCACTAAGGCAGACACAAAGCAATTTCTGCTTAGCTCACAAAAGAAACCAAGTTCAGAGGCCGGAGAGACGACTCAGCAATGGTTGCTCTTGCAGAAGATTTGGGTTTTGTTCACAGTGCCCACATGGCGGCTAACATCATCTGTTAAACCACAGTTCCAGGGGATCCAATGCTCTCTTCTGGCCTCCACAGGCATTGCACAACACAGATGCACTTACATACATGCAGGTAAAACATACACATAAAAATAATAAAAAACTAAGAAAAAAAAAGAGAAAGAAAGAAAGAAAGAAAGAAAGAAAAAGAAACTAAAGTTCAAAGAGGAAAAAAAAAGGCAAAATCTATGGGAACCTGTTTTGGGTTGGGACACAGATCAGCTCTGATAAACACCATCACTTTTCAATTTGGTTAAGAGGATGTTTGATGAACATTAATCTGACCTCTATTTTTTTTTTTAAACTAGCTTTATGGACAAACAAACAGGTACTCAAAGGCTCCAGCATGAAGAGCAAGTACCACCTCTGCCTGGGTCATGAAGAGGCAGCCCTGGGTGCTCATTCTCACCCCACCCCCACCCCCGGGTGGCCTGGGATTCATTATTATGTACCTCAGACTAGCCTCAAATTTGAAGCACCCTGTCTCAGGGGGACAAGTGGTAGAATTGCTGCCATGAGCCACCATATCTGGCTCTCTCTGGGTTCTTTTCTTGAGATAAGGTCTCATGTATCCCAGGATTGGCTTCAAACCTGCTATGTAGTTGAAAATGACCTTCAACTTCTGATCCTCCTGCCTCTACCTCCAATGCAAGGATTTACGGTATACACTGACATCCCCTATACAATGCTGCAGAGAGAACTCAGGCAAGCACTACACAAGCACTCTACTAATTGAGCTACATCTCCAACCCTCTCTCTGGATTTTTACATGCTTTTTTCATGTCACATACTCTTAACCATTCGATTTAATTAATTTAAACAATAACCTAAAATCAAAAGAGCTTTAGTTACCTGGGGTAGTTTTATCCACTGAATTGTAATCTTCAACTACAGAGTCCTCAATGACATCACTGATTTTCTGCCATGGCTCCAATTCTTCCTCCTCACATTCCATAAACAGGTCGGTGTCCGCCATGCTACAAGAAAGAAGTTTAGTAAGATACTGACCTAAGAATCAGAGAAACAGTTTCAAGGCCAGGCACAAGCCTTTTCTCCCAGCACTCAGGAGGCAAAGACAGACAGATTTCTGTGAGTCTGAGGCCAGCCTGTTAAACATAGTGAATTCTAAGCCATCCAGGGCCTACACAGCAAGATCCTGCCTTTAAAAAAAGAAGTTTTATTCGAAGTACGGACTTTGTTTGAGAAAGGGTCTCATACTGTAAATCAGGCTGGCCTGGAACTTTGCTATGTAGCCCAAGCTGGTTTCCAACTCAGGGCAATCCCCTTGCCCCCAGCTTCCTGAGAGCTGATAGATGTGAGTCCCCATACCCAGCTGGTAATCTCCCCTCTCTGTGCTACCATTTTTTAACCTCCTCTTATTTCCAAGGGCCCAGAATGACAATTTTTATCCTTGAATATTTAAAGTCCTTTCCATGGCAGACTCTTAATAATCAGGGTTATAAAAGCTGAACGTACAATACCCAACAGCTGGGATCAGGTCAGTGAAACAGCAAGTGCAGGATCAGAACCACCTTAAAATCGGTATTTGGTTCATTATGCATTGTTTTCCATCAATGCTGCTCTTTTAAACAAAAATTGTTTTTTTGGGGGAAGTTCTTTTTGAGACAGGGTCTCCCTACAACCCCAGCTGGCCTGGAACTTGCTATGTAGACCAGGTTGGCCTTGATCTCTCAGAGATCCGCCTGCCTCTAACTCCGGAGTACTGGGTTTAAAGACATGCGCCATCACACCCAGCTAAACAAAAATTTTTATTACATTTTTATGTATTTTGTATGTGTGTGTGTGTGTGTGTGTATATATATACACACACACACACCCACACACACAGGGATGTGTACCACAGCACACATGTGGAGGGAAAGGACAACTTGTAGGAGTTGGTTCTCCCCCACCATGTGGGTCCCAAGGATCAAACTCAAGTTTGGCAGCAGGTGCCTTTACCCACTGAGCCACCAGTCCAATACTGATGTTTTAAAAATGATGTCACAAGTGACTTGAAAGTAGAAAGGAAGCTATGGAGGTTGGTTGGAGGGTATAAGGGGATAGGAGTCAGGAAGGTGGGAAAGGAGAAGGACCTGAGTTTGTCCCCCAGAACCCACATTAAAAACACAGGAACTCTAGTGGGGCACTTATAATCGCAGCACTGGAGAAGAAAGAGACGGGCAGATCCTGGGGCCTCAATGGCCAGGCAGCGTAACCAAAACAGTAAATCCAGGTTCCTTGAGAGAGACCTTCTCTCAGAAAATAAATGGGGAAAACACCTGATATCAACCTCTGGTCTCCACATGCATGTACATGAATGGGTGAGCACACTTGTACACACACAAATAACGTTAGAAAAATGCCTTAATGAAACCTAACACTGTGCATGTGAATTAAAAACAAATTTTTTTTTGGTCTTTTTTTTTGAGACAGGGTCTCCCTGTAGCCCCAGCTGTCCTAACTCACTATTGGAGACCAGGCTGGCCTCAAATTCACTGGTCTTTTTTTTTGAGACAGGGTCTCCCTGTAGCCCCAGCTGTCCTGGAACTCACTATGTAGACCAGGCTGGCCTTGAACTCACAGAGATCTGCCTGCCTCTGCCTCCTGAGTGCTGGGATTAAAGGTGTGCGCCACCAATGCCCAGCTAAAAACATTTTTTTAAATGTGCTAGGTACAATGCCTGCCTAGAATGTGTAAAGCCCCTCAGCATCACCCCTCCACCGAAATAATTAAATTGCATTAAAATACTATTTAGTGAGTATGAAGGTTTGTGGGTACTGGGGGCGGGGGTGTGCTCTTTGTTTTTGTTTTTTTTTAGGTTAGGATCTCACTATGTAGCCCTGGTTGGCCTGGAAATTTGCTATATAGACCAGGCTGTCCTCAAACTCACAAAGATCCCCTGCCTCTGCCTCCTGAATGCTGGGATTAAATAATGTTGTGTATGTATCAATACACAGGGTTCAAGCGAGTTTTAGTTGTCAACTTGACACAACCCTGAATCACTTGGGAGGAGTCTCAATGAGGGACTATTTACATTGGGTTGGCCTGTGGGCATGCCTTTGGGGGACTATTTAATTGATGCAGGAATACCCAGCCCACTGTGAGCAGTACCATTCCTGAACTGTATGAAGAGCTAAGCAGCAGCAACCAAGTGAGCATGTATGTAAGCCATCTCTCTGCCCTTGACTGTTAATATGATCTGACTAGCTATTTCAAGTTCCTGCCTTGACTCCCACACAATGGTAGATTGTAACCTGGAATTTTAAGCTGAAATAAACCCCATTCTACCCTAAATTACTTTTTTGTCCAGGTATTTTATCACAACAGAAGTGAAACTAGAATAGTGATTACTGATACTTTTTGTATTTCTTTAAATTTTTTAACTTCCAGTCTAGGAAATTTTGGAAGCTATTCCCATGACCCTGGAGTATACTTTTAATTAAATAATACTGCCTATGTTATATGCCTCTTTCAAAAGTAAAGCTTTCAACTCTGCTGTGCAAACAATGAGCTACTGCTATTATGTCCTCCAATATGAGTTGAGCAGAAGGGAGTTTGTTTCAGAATGAAATGTTACCCCCAATACTCAAACAACCCTTTATAACTGCAAAGGATACCTGTGCCCTTAGAGTCTTAGTACTTGCTGTACCAAATCTACAGCTTTTAACAGCAAAACAAAACAACCAACCTGTGTATCAACCTATAAACTATATCAAACTTATTAAACTATAAACTATTGGGCACTGCCCAATAGATGGCACTAACTCCTTTGAAAATGTAAAACATCCCACATTGTCTCAATGAGTTAACTACAAACCAGAAAACCCCAGTTTTAACAGGTAAAGTACTTAACTTGAATCTAATGGAACCTCTAATCTATTTTAATTAATCTTTCCAATCCAAAGCCAGAGGGAGAGCAGGAGAGCAAAAAGAGCTAAAGGATTACTTTAAATTCTCTCATCCTTCTTAACATAAGTACATATTAGACAATGCTAGTCAAAATCTAATTCCAGAAATTGAATTTAAAACAAAACCATAGGGACAATGAGAAAAGGCACTTGCCACCAGGCCTGGAACCTGAGTTAGAAGCCCGGAGACCCACATGGTGGAAGGACAGAACCAACTCCCTGACCTTGTCCTCTGACCTCCACATGTACACTGTGGCAGGAGTGCAATCCCCCCAGAACCAAACACACATACACACTCGAGCACACAAAGTAAACAAATTTCACATTTTTATTTACCAATATAGTTCCAGTTTAAAAAAAAAAAAAAAAGGCTTTCCAAACAATTTTATGCCATTGTTTTTTGCTATGTAACTTTATGGTATATACAATCATCTTACAGTCAAACACCCAGAAAAATGACAAGTCTGAACTGGAGGGAAGCCTCTGCAGATGGTCAGTGGTAACTAATTACAAGCAAGCGCTCCATAAATATGCTAAACAAGCTACAGGCAACTTTTATTTATTTATTTATTATTTTTATTTTATGCGTATGAGTGTACTGCCCACATGTATGTGAGTGCACCCGTGTTGTGCAATGCGGTGGAGTCAGAAGAGGGCTTCAGATTCTCCTGGAACTGGAGTTAAGGAATCGAACCTGGGTCCTTTGCAACAGCAGTCAGTGCTCTTAACCTCTGAGCCATCTCTCTAGCCATTTATTTATTTATTTATTTATTTATTTATTTATTTATTTATTTATTCATTCATTCATTTTTGGTCTTTTTGAGACAGGGTCTTCTTGTAGCCCCAGCTGGCCTAGAACTCACTATGTAGAGCAAGCCAGCCTTGAACTCACAGAGATCTGCCTGCCTCTGCCTCCCGAGTGATGGAATTAAAAGTTCACCTTTCCATTATTTTTAAAGATTTTATTTATTATTTTTATTTTATGGGTGTATTGCTTACATGTCGGTTAGTGCACCTGTGTCATGCAATGCCCATGGAAGTCAGAAGAGGGTGTCGGATCCCCCAGAACTGGAGTTATGGATGGTTGTTAAACACTGTGTGGGGTGCTGGGCCATCTCTCCAGCTCTGCAACTTTCCTTTAAATAAACAGAGCTATCTGAATACAAACTGTGGTTTTCATATTATGCCTGTAAATATTTTAACAGCATATTCAAAAGGCTGACCTTTATCAAGTATTTATAGCTTCCCTTCCTCCTGGTCAGAGGAAATAGAAGGACAGTTTTTTACTCCTTGCCTCCTCCGAGGTCAACTAAGTTCCAGGGGACTATGGAGCATCTCTCAAAATGTCCTGCAACTGTGGTAAGTCACTTTTCCTCTTGTTCAGGGAGGCCATGGAGACCCCACCAGATGGACTTGAACCAGTGTCTAGACTACAAAGAGGAGGGTCAACTCAGAGGAAACATTTCCTCCATGCTTCCAAGTGAAGCCAGTCACAGTCGAGTAGGACCTTTGACTTATCTTCACATAGATGGAACTGGTAAAAGAAAGGAGCCAGAGGCTCCTCCCAAGCCCATGTGACCCCTGAGGAACAGATCCTCAAACGACCTTAAGTGTAAAAATAAATTGATTTATTTGGACCAACTGTATGGTCTTAAACACCCTTAAGTCCATATAAAATATTATTTAGACAGTTATTTCTCATTGATGATTTTGTTTCTAAGCAGAAAGTGCTGCTCAGATGTAAGACTTCAGATCTTGGTCTCCAATACTGCAGTGCCCACCTGTAGCTAAGGGAGACAACCAACTATGGTTCTAAAATGATGGCTAAATTTGTTTTCTCCCCTGATCTAGAAGCCTTTGAGATGGAACTGACACTGATTCTAAGCACTCCAACAGCTATCAAAGTGCCTGAAAACAATCCTGAGTCCATCACCCTCGAGTCCAGCCTTGGCACACAAAAGAAAAAGGAGGAACCCAATAGAAGGATGCTTTTGGAAGTTCTGGTCAAGCAATTCCAATGGACTCTGCTATGAACATTTGAAATTTGTCCAGTTCTGACTTTTTTC